TGTGAAACTCTATCTCCAATTAACCACCAAAAAGCTAGAAGTGAAGCTGTGACTTAAAGTGGTAGAGCATTCACTCTGAGCAAAAGAAAAACCCTTCAAATATAGTACCCAAGCTCTGAGTTCAAGCCCAAGGATCAGCACACACACACAAAAAAAAAAGAAAAAGAAAAAAAATCAAGATAGGTAAGCTGCTAGAAATATCACACACACTCACGCGCGTGTGTACACACGCATGCATACATGCACCCGCATATACAAAGTTAAATATGAATCTTAAAGGCTCTTCTAACATCATTATTTTACAAGTGTTCAAAGGCAATTATTGCCAAACAGTAATATGTGCCCCAAATCCTAATATAGATAGAAAACTCACCAAAGTGGACATTGAAAAGTACTGTTGGCAAAAAAAAAAAAACAGCAGCTCAGGGCTAGGAAGGTGGCTCAGTGGTAGAGCGCTTGCCTTGCATGCATGAGGCCCTGGGTTCAATTCCTCAACACCACATAAACAAAAAGAAAAAAGCCAGAAGTGGCGCTGTGGCTCAAGTGGTAGAGCGCTAGCCTTGAGCTGAAGAGCTGAGGGACAGCACCCAGGCCCAGAGTTCAGGCCCCACGACCCGATCCCCCCACCCAAAAAAAAAAGCTCAGGGACAATGCCCAGGCCCCGAGGTTAAGCCCCAGAACTGGCACACACACACACACACACACGCACACACACACACAAAAAGTACTACTGGGAGGGACCATCTCTCAGAAAAGAAGTTGTTAACAAATAACTTGATAATGCTCCTAGACTTGATACAATGTAGATCATTAAGCTGGGTGCTCACACCTGTAATCCTAGCTACTCAGGAGGCTGATAAGCAGCAAAGTCCATGAGACTCTTAGCTCCAATTAACTACTACTCCCCTCCTCCCACCCCCAACCCCCCCAAAAAAGCCAGAAGTAAAGCTCTAGCTCAAGTGGTAGAGTGTTACCCTTAAGCAAAGCAGCTCAGATAATCAGGTTCCGAGCATCAGCAGGCAGGCGTGCATGCGCGCATGCGCCCCCCTCCCCCCCAACATGTATAATCTTAAACCAATAGCTCATAAACTACATTGACATCCAACCTAGTTTACTCACAAATGGCTTACTAAATCTGCCCAGGGCTGTCTAGGAGACAACCCTGACTTCTTTCTCCTGATCAGAATCTTTGTAAACAGGTCACACAGCCACAAGCTGTACCACATGCTGAAACATAGGATAGTTAAGAGGGAATCAGTTAAAATCTTTTTCAAGGAAGCTTAGTTTATCACACTTTGTTCAAAAGGAAGCTTAAGGTAAAAAAGAAGAGTTCTCAATTTTTTGAATCTATGTTAAGACCTATACATTAGCTTTATTCTTGTGCAAAAGCAATGACATATGGAAAAATTCAACCCTCAATTCTATCAATGAACTGAATGTAGAAAAACTGACACAGTATCAGCTGTCAGAATATGCAATTACATGTTTACATATTTCAAGCTCATCTTGCCTGATTTTGGACTTATTTGTATGGGTATACACAAATCTAATGAAGAAAGCTTAAAAACAGAAATATTCATGGTTTATCTAACAGATATATATATAGCAAATTCTGGTAAGTCTTTTTTTTTGGGGGGGGGGGGCGGGGGTCCGGTTGTGGGGCCTGAACTCTGGGCCTGGGCGCTGTCCCTCAGCTCTTCAGCTCAAGGCTAAGCACTCTACCACTTGAGCCACAGCACCACTTTCGGCTTTTTTTTTCCTGCTTATGTGGTGCTGACGAATTGAACCCAGGGCCTCATGCATGCAAGGCAAGCGCTCTACCACTGAGCCACCTTCCCAGACCTTGGTAAGTCTTAAAAGTGCCACAATTCTAGTTTCACTTCATGACCAGGCTTTTTGCAAACCTCATCAATGCTCAAGAAGTAAAAAAGAGGTTTATAGGAAAGCTAAGTCCAGCTTCAAATTCAACTACTAGATAGTGTAACCAGATTACTTTTCAGTATACTTTCCTCTAACAGTTATCCAAAATCACTTCAGTTTTTATTCATTTTGTGGATTCTCAAGCCGACTTCAAAACTGAGACAGGATTAGTAATGCACACCTGTGGTCAGTCCTCACTACCCTAGAGGCTAAGAAAGAAGGATCTCTTAAATCTGGGAGTTGAGGGCAGCCTGTGCAACCTAGAAAAACTCTCCTTAAAAAAAAAAAAAAAAAGCTGCCGGGTGCTGGTAGCTCACACCTGTAATCCTAGCTACTCAGGAATCTGAGATCTGAGGATCAAGGTTCAAAGCCAACCTGGAAAAGTCCATGAGACTTGGTGCTGTGGCTCAAGTGGTAGAGTGCTAGCCTTGAGCTGAAGAGCTGAGGGACAGCACCCAGTCCTAGAGTTCAAGCCCCAAAATCACCACAAAAAAAAGTTGGGTGCTGGTGGCTCACACCTGTAATCCTAGCTACTCAGGAGGCTGAGATCTGAGGATCGAGGTTCAAATCCAGGCAAGGCAGGAAAAGCTGTGAAACTCTTATCTCCAATAAACTACTGTGGCTCGAGTGGTAGAGGACTAACCTTGAGTTGAAGAGCTGAGGGACAGCACCCAGGCCCAGAGTTAAAGCCCTGTGACCGACCAAAAAAAAAAAAGGGAAAAAAGAAAAAGGTGGGAGACAGGAAGTGCCAGTTCTGGGGCATAGAGCTCAGTGACAGACACACATTTAGCATGTGCAAGGTCTTGGGTTTGACCGCTACCACCAACGGTTGTTGGAACACTGACATCAAGTATGGATGACTCTTCCACACAAATAACCAAGTGATGCCTCCAATTCTAGCCATTAATTCAACTCACTCTAGGTTGGAATCTGAGGGTCGTGGTTCAAAACTAGCTGGGGCAAGAAAGTCCATAAAACTCTTAGCTCCACCAAAAAACTAGAAGTGAAGCTATGGCTTAAGTGGTAGAGTGCTAGCATTGAGCATAAAAACTCAGGGATAGTACCCAGGCCTTGATCTCAAGCCCTAGGTCTATCTGAGTCTCTTATGCACCAAACCTTAAAAATTCTGTAATTTCGGGCTGGGAAGGTGGCTCAGTGGTAGAGCGCTTGCCTTGCATGCCTGAGGCCCTGGGTTCGATTCCTCAGCACCACATAAGCAAAAAGAAAAAAAGCCGGAAGTGGCGCTGTGGCTCAAGTGGTAGATCACTAGCCTTGAGCTGAAGAGCTGAGGGACAGCGCTCAGGCCCAGAGTTCAGGCCCCACAACCGGACCCAAAAAAAAAAAATTCTGTAATTTCCCCCCTAAATAAGTGTAATTTTAGTAAAAGATCATTATTTCCCCTTTCCTCCTCAACATCTTTTTCTCACACACACTTCCCTCATCCCTACTCATTTCATAAACAGAACCTCTTATATTTAGGCAGTTCTAAAACCAAGTCATTCTTGCCTTAAAAGAGTTATTTTCGGGGCTGGGAAGGTGGCTCAGTGGTAGAGCGCTTGCCTTGCATGCCTGAGGCCCTGGGTTCAATTCCTCAGCACCATATAAGCAAAAAGAAAAAAGCCGGAAGTGGCGCTGTGGCTCAAGTGGTAGAGTGCTAGCCTTGAGCTGAAGAGCTGAGGGACAATGCCCAGGCCCAGAGTTCAGGTCCCACAACCGGACCCAAAAAAAAAAAAAAGTTATTTTCAAAGTGTCCTATCATAGCACCTAGCCTATCTCTACGACCTTTCAAAACAAACCCAACTTCCACACAAGTTTTTCACATTAACATGGCACTTAAAACATACCAGTCACCCTTGACAGCTCATACTTATAATCCCAGCACCTCAGGAGGCTGAAGCAGGAGGAAGATCCTGAGTCTGAGGTCAACCTGAGCTCTGTAATTAGAGCTTGTCTTTTCACAAAATCTAAAACAAATTTTCAAGCCACAATTATTACTATAATTCCTTCTTTACAAATGAAGTTGAAGTGGTGACTCATACCTAGTACTTGGGAATGCTGAGACAGGAGGATCATAAGAAGATTGAGGCCAATTTAGGTAACACAATGAGACACTCAATAAAAAGAAAGCAGAGGGCTAGAGGTACAGTATTTTGTCTAACATGCTCACCGCCCTGGGCTCAATCCCCAGCACAATAAAATAAAATAAAATAAAATGAGCCAGGTGCCAGTGGCTCACACCTGTAATCCTAGCTACTAAGGAGGCTGAGATATAAGGATCGTGGTTCAAAGGAGACTGGGTAAGAAGTCTGTGAGACTCATCTCCAGTAAACCACCAGAAAACTGGAAGTGGTATTGTGGCTCAAGTGGTAGAGCACTAGCCTTTAGCTGAAGAGCTCAAGGACAGCGCCCTGACCCAGAATTCAAGCCCTTTGATTGACCAAAAAAATAAAAGGATATACATACATACGTATATACATGGCATCGACTGAAATCTCTTAGCAACCTCAAGTAATTATTCTTACTAGGATATTTCATTACAAAATGTAGAACACACATCCAACTCAAAATCCTCTTGTCTCAGTTTCCAGAGGCCTAGATTATAGGTATGTACCCTATGCCCAACAGAGAAGGCATTTTAATAACTGTTAAAAGGCTTTAACAAAGTTATCTATTTTCTAATACAAACCAAAAATGCAAAGTTAATATTTGTAATGTGTTAGGTAGATGCCCATATGGTCGAAGATTTAATTAGGGCATACATACTTCAAAAATATCTAGAACATTGATTATATTTATTTCCCTTTGCCAAGGATAATCATTACTCATAGTTAATACCAATGATCAACTTAAGCCATGATGTTTTCATATTTGTAGACTCCAGATTGATGAGATTTTAATCCATAATATTCCACAGAAGACACATTTTTGGGATACAAATTTCTATTCCTTTGCATCCAGAGATTACACTTCAAGTCCATTTAGTGGACTTTAACATAGAAATAAACCACACTGTTTCATGGCAAGCTAAAAAGTACATTTTATGTAATCAACGACAATAAGGAAAAAAAACCCACTTGTCATATAGTCTAGTCTTTATTGAAGACTTACTTCAACTGTGGTTTACAGCTTTGGCTTTAATTGGCCAGTCATTTTAGCCTCTCACTGCCAGCAGACATAAAAATCAAGTGGAAATGAGGTGGGGGGAAATACTAATAGAAAGATGATTCAAGCAAAGAAGAGGGCAGGCAGAAACACATTATTAAAATAAATTTCAAAGTAGCTAAGAAATCTCTGCTGTTTTTTTTTAGTGAACATGGGAAAAAGGCAACGATTCTTAGGTATAAACTGGATCAAGACAGCACTGACTTCAATTTGTGTTATGAAACAGTTTGGGTCTGTGCTAACTTGGTAGTCCTATTTTCTAAACAGGTTTCACGAGGATAAGTACCTTTGTATTTTATAATGGTTTACTATGAAATAACTGGAATTAACTGATCATGAACTCTTGTTCTTGCCCAAATTCAGATGGATTCATCGATCACATTTACTACAGCAATTATCTAGTCTGGATAATTTTGTTAAATCATAGAATATATAACTTGGAAAAATACAGCTGCATTCAGCTGGTATTTCCATAAGCCACTTCAAAATATATTGGCAAACAAACAAACAAACAAAAAAAAAAGGAGGCAAACTGAGAACTCAACAGGCTCTTACCAGTTATCACTAAGTCTTTAGTCCAAATTTCACAAATGTTCATGAAAAATTTAACTCAGGGGCACAGTACATAGTTTCTTAGGTCCTCTCATTAAAATATGAAGTAACTTTTCCAAAAACACATCTCCAAAGACAGTATGAACAAAATAAAGAGTATATTTAATAATAGGAGAGTGTAACACATAACTATTGTGGCTAAAACCAAGGTACCATATAAATTTTGGCTCAAAGAACCTTGTGAATTTTTATGCTGAATACATCTGGCTATATTTCTAAGTGGGGAAAAAAAAGGAAAACAATACTAAAACTATGTGGTCACCAATATATAAAACCATTATCTTGAAGGCTTAAAACAGACCATTGGTAGGTGCCAGGTACATCTTACCACTTAACTTACTGTAAACACTATTTTCTGTTTGGGAGTCCTGGCCAACATTTTGAATACATTTCCAAAACACTTGCATACCCCCTAACTGTCACAATTTAAATACATAGGATTTTATCTATTATACATTCCTGTTTTATAGAAATTTGAGGCAGATTTGATCCACACAGACTTAAAAATATCTTGGAAGCAAACCTCAATCTCTGCATCTTCCCAATTGATTCATTTACAAACTACACACATACAACAAACTCAAGCCTCCGTTCAGGCCTGTCATCCACTCACACTCCTCATGAGGAAGTCACAACTTTGTGTACTAGTTAAACTGAATATCCAATTATAAATTGGTACATCAAACTGTCTAAATAAGATGTTTTAGCAATCTGTTTAAAAAAATCCTGGGGCAAAATATATCTAATTTTTAAAAACACCCCAATATTTTTAAAAAACATTTGTGCTATACAACTTATAGGAACCTTGAAATTGTTTCACAAGGTTTTAATCAAGGTATTTACATACCAAATAATGTAAAGCAAAACAAACAAAAAAGACACCCCCCAAAACCCTAATTTCCAATTACATTTTAGAATGTACTAATGCATCAAAGATTTGTATGAAATTAAAATTTAAGGCTTTTTCTGTGTAATTTGTGTTATTTTAATTTACATAGCCAACCTTGAAAATGTCAGTCTTAAACATTCTTATCAATCCACTGCATTGATTGCAGTGGAATGTGTTAAGTGTTACTTCAAATTACATTGTTGCTACTTCTATGTTGAAGCATGCTCATTAAACACTGTAGTTATTCAATATTTACAATGTATAGCATTTAAACTTCATGTAAAAGCACAAGTATGACTGTCTTTGTATTAATACAAACACCATACTTGGAATTTCCCCACCCCCAATGAAATGTAATATACTACAGTTTTAATAATCAACACTTTCTGAAGTTTAAAAAATATGTCTTAATATGGACCATCAACATTTGCTCAAGAAACTTAAGACAACGCTGCTCCTTATTTAGGTTGCAAAATTTCAGTCTGTCTGGCTTCAGTTTCTTTAGGCATAGAGAAAGTAAATAATTCCTCCAGAGCGATTCCAAAATCATGCATTTCTTCTGAATATCACTTTTTTTCTGCTGACTTCAAATGTGGTCCACATCAGGGAAGGGGAGGGGAGGATCAGGATTCAGGATGAACTTAGGTAATTCCCAGTTTGTTTGTTTTTTTTCCACGATTCTCCCTTTTTTGCTCTTTTAAAAACACAGTGAATTAAAATACTGAACAGCAAGATAAAAATGTAATAGTATCTAAGAATCAAAATTACCCATTTCGCCTATTATATCAAAATTTGAAGTCAGAATTGTCTTTATTGACTTTATTTTAGTTTTTGTACACAAAGAAAAATCATGTTCATATCCATCATGAACAAAAACTTAAAAAGGCAGAACTAGAAGACATGTGTCCTTCACCAAAGCAAAGCTGTGCTAAAGGTTCCAAACATTTCAATTTTTAAAATAAATATTTTCATTTTCCGATGTCTACTTTCATGTCTTCAGAGTGTCACAGGAAATCGAAGCCTATCATGAATTACAATTTTGTTTAGAGTCCCAGCTCACTGTGTTTGGTAACTTGCCATGCCATATCCAGCTTGGTTAGGAGGAGGTATTACAGGGGGAGGAGCTTGTCCTTGGGGAGGCTGAGCACCAAATCCACCCATCCAAGCAGCAGACGGTGATTGACTTGGAAGGAAAAAAAAAAAAAGACAATTTTCAGTAAACATGGCTTAAAAAAAAAATCTAGATGTTCATATTAGACAAGTAAAAATCAACAAAAAAAATCAACAAATTATAACAATTAAAATGTAAACAATATGCATATAGACAATACATATTCAGACATTAATTGTAAAGCTCTGATAATATAATCACAATGTGCCACAAGTCTGAAAAGATCTGACTTAAAAAAAACGTAACAAGGGCTGGGAAGGTGGCTCGGTGGCTTGCCTTGCATGCATGAGGCTCTGGGTTCGATTCCTCAGCACCACAAAAGCAGAAAAAAAAAAAACCGGAAGTGGCGTTGTGGCTCAAGAGGTAGAGTGCTAGCCTTGAGCTGAAGGGCTGAAGGACAGTGCCCAGGCCCAGAGTTCAGGCCCCAAGACTGGACCAAACAACAACAAAAAAAGTAACAAGGGGTTGGGAAAGTGGCTCAGTGGTAGAGTGCTTGCCTTGCATGCATGAGGCCCTGGGTTTGATTCCTTAGCACCACATAAGCAGAAAAGGCCAGAAGTGGTGCTGTGGTTCAAGTGGTAGAACACTAGCCTTGAGCTGAAGAGTCGGGGGACAGCACCCAGGCCCAGAGTTCAGGCCCTATGACTGACCAAAAAAAAAAAAAAATGTCTAGACTGGCCTGGGGAGGGGGGGAGGATTACAAGTAGCCAACCTTGATTCTACCAGCTAATTACAGATATACCCAGTATTACCCTAACTATGCTTTTTCACCTAGGTAATGAGAATTTCCCAGCATAATTAAATTCATTTCATTTGTTTCTATAAATGTTTATAATCCAAATACTTCCATGTATATACTATAAACAGATCCTCCCTTTTTTCATTTCTTATGGCAGAAATCAATCTGTCTCTATTCAAACAACTTACTCTACTCCAAATCCTTGTTGATTCCATGGTTGCCCGTATACTCCATAAGGTGGAACTTGCCACCCATTTGCCATATATTGTCCATACTGTTGTGGGTTTCCGTAAACTTGGCTCCACTGGCCCCACTGACTGTAGTCGACCTAGGAAAAAACAAAGTACTATTTCAGGGAACTAGTAAGAAACACCGTATTTGAAGAAAGAGTGGGAGACAAGGAAGAGAAAAACTAAGTAAGCACCCTTATGTGAATAGGACTCTGTTATTTATCATTGTCTAAGTTTATTGGGGTGGTGACACCTGTGAAAAGAAAGTATTAAGATTCAGTTAATACCGCAAAATAATTTTGAAATAGCATTAATACAAGCAACTGAAAGTAGCTATATTCTTTATGTATACATATATATGTGTGTATATATATATATATCATATATATATATCATATATATATATATAATAGTTTCCAAAGCTCTTATATAGATAGGTAAGATGGAAACCTTAAAAAGTGCTAAGAAAAATTCAATTACCTGTTGAAAGTTTTTAGTCATATCAGGAGATTCTTTACCCCAATAGCATTTAACCACATGTCCTTCAATCGTAGTACCATTCACTGAAACAATGGCATGGGCTGCACTTTCATGAGTTGAAAACCTAAATGAAGAAAATATAGTAAGGTTTTTGTCTTTTCATTTTTTTAAAAAAACATGAGTAAATAATAAACCCATTAACTGACATCTTTTAATGTAGATTTTTCAAATTACATTAGGTGTGAAAAGTGCTATATTATAAAGTACTAAATTAGCAAACATACCATGGAAGAGTCAAACACAAAAGTGCAACGAATTATTAAATGTAAGAGCAGCAACAGGAGGATTACATGTGAACCACTACCTGACAAACGAATAGCCCTTCTCTGGAAAAACTCTTATTTCCATAATTTGTCCAAATGGTGAAAATGTCTGTCTCATAAGCTGATCTATAAACAAAATCATAAAAATACCTCATGAAAATTATATAAGTCATGAAATTCATAGAACAGTAAGGAGTCCCAAACAGAAGGTGATTAGGAAACCTAACACTATACCTGTTAGCCCAGAAGCGATTCCTCCACAGTACACAGTACAGTTTTTTGGACTTGACTGGTTTACTACATCTTCAAATCTCAACTGCTTAGTGTTATCTACATGCAGGAAGAAAATGAAAATGCAACTGTTTTACAGTGTTGTAAAACTATCTTTTGAGCTAGGGGTATATTACATTACACAGGGTTCAATACCAGCACAACATATACACAAACTATCTTTTTTTTTTGGGGTCCAGTCATGGGGCCTGAACTCTGAGCCTGGGTGTTGTCCCTCAGCTCTTCAGCTCAAGGCTAGTGCTCTACCACTTCAGCCACAGTGCCACTTCCGGCTTTTTTTTCTTTTTGCTTATGTGGTGCTGAGGAATCGAACCCAGGGCCTCATGCATGCAAGGCAAGTGCTCTACCACTGAGCCACATTCCCAGTCTACAAACTATCTTTTATTATTACATACTATTAACAAATGCCTTAAAAAAAGGGGGGGGGGGCTGGGTAGGTGGCTCAGTGGTAGAGCGCTTGCCTTGTATGCATGAGGTCCTGGGTTTACTTCTCTAGCACCACATAAGCAGAAAAAGGTGAAGTGGCGCTGTGGCTCCAGTGGTAGAGCACTCGCCTTGAGCTGAAGAGCTGAGAGACAGTGCCTAGGCCCAGAGTTCAGGTCTCATGACTGACATTAAAAAAAAAAAAAAAAAAAGCAGAGGCAAAAAAGAAATGTCTTTATAGCTGGGCGCTAGTGGCTCATGCCTGTAATCCTAGCTACTCAGGAGGCTGTTATCCAAGGATTACAGTTCAAAGCCAGAGTAGGCAGAAAAGTCCATGAGACTCTTATCTCCAATTCACTACCAGTAGACCAGAAGCAGAGCTGCGGCTCAAATGGTAGAGTGGCTAGCTTAAGCAAAGGAGCCCAGGGTCAGTGTCCAGGCCCTGAGTTACCAAAGAAAAAGAAATGTCTTGGTGGGATGAGAAGACATAATTTTAGTGCTTGATTTAGACAAGCTATGTGGACAAACTATAAATAAGTCAAGTGGTTCACAGCTTCAGAGGTATTTGTATTAAAAGCCTATTTACAGCTAGTGAAGAATTTATACTTTTAACATTCTTGCAGATAGCTTACTTTCTTGTGTACTTTTAGGTGCAGGTGGTTTACGTGTAGCCCAATTGGTTCTGATTTGCCGGCCACCCAGCCACTGACCTCCCATGTGCACAATTGCATTTTCTGCATCCTATGGAGGAAAGAAGAGAAAATAAGAGCAATTACTAACAAAATAGAGTGATATACAAGTCCTAGCATGATGAAACAGAAGGAAGTTAGCATAGCGGAAGCCAATAAATCTTATCAAAGTAACATTCTTAGAAAGTGAACTTGAGTGAATTGTAAAAGCTAGGAGTGAATCCAAATACTAAGAAAACATTTAAGTTCAAGTAAATGAAAATTCATGACATTCAAATATAACAACAAAAACAAAAAATCAAAATCACAATGCCAGTTACTAGTTACTAGCCCAAATTAAAGAAATACAAAAATCACAGAAGACAAGAAGTTTTCAAATTCTACTTGTATTTTTAGTTATAAATTATGAATATGCCATAAAATTAAGAATTTGTTTTAAGACAGAAGATGGATAAATTATGATTTAGAATATTTTTAAAGGCTAACAATAAAAAGTTTATTCAAATCAATGTGAACAGATAATCCAAACACAGAATATAACTAGTCTTTTATCTTACCATATCAATAAAATGTATGTAATTTAAGTTGCTGAAACTGGTTTTTTTTTTGTCGGTCGTGGGGCTTGAATTCTGGACCTGGGTGCTGTCCCTGAGCTCATCAGCTCAAAACTAGTGCGCTACCACTTGGGCCACACCAACACTCCCAGTTTTCTGACAGTTAACTGGACAATAGTCTCACAGACTATTTTCCTGCCCAGGTTGGCCTTGAACCATGATCCTCAGCTCTCAGCCTCCTGAGTAGCTAGGATTACAGGCCGTAGGCCACTGGCGCCTGGTGAAATTCTGATTTTCATGATGAAGACTGAAAAGAACTTGCCTCCCATTCATCTGTGCTTGATTTGGAATTCTATTTTTTTTTGGGGGGGGGGGTGGGGGGTGAGGGAGGGGTTAATTGAAAAGAGTCTCACATCTCACAGTCTTTCTTGCCCCAGCTTTAAACCCTAATCCTTAGATCTCAGCCTCCTGAGTAAACTAGGATTATGAAAGTGAGCCACCAACACCCACTGCACAAATGCAGTTTTAATATCTTCCTTTCTGTGTAACCACTATCCCTTCCTGGTTACTTATTTTCAATTTTATGAAAGAATGAATTATATTCCATTATTAATTTATACAATAAATTATTTGTAGTTAACATCCAAGCACATTTAAGTTTCAGTTATCTTTTTTTTGTCGGTCATGGAGCCTGAACTCTGGGCCTGGGCGCTGTCCCTCGGCTCTTCAGCTCAAGGCTAGCGCTCTACCACTTGAGTCACAGCGCCACTTCCGGCTTTTTGCTTATGTGGTGCTGAGGAATCAGGGCCTCAGGCATGCACGGCAAGCGCTCTCCACTGAGCCACCTTCTCAGCCCCACTTCAGGCTTTTTTTCTGCTCATGTGGTGCTTAGATTCTAACCCAGGGTCTCAAGCATGTGAGGCAAGCACTCTACTACTGAGTCACCTTCCCAGCCCCAGTTTCAGTTATCTTAATACAAACTAAATGAATTAAGCTTAGAGTTAAAAATCTGAACTGGAAAGAACGTACCAGTTTGTTATAAAAAGATACAAAACCATAGCCTTTGGATTTTCCAGTTGCCATGTCTTTAACTACCCGAGCATCCCTGTGAAAAGAAGCACAGCTAAATGAGGGAAGTAAGAGTCATCCTCAAAATAAAAACTAAAAGGAACCACACACACTGTATTGTGAGCATTTTTTAAAATAAAATTCCAGTTAGCCCTAATTAACTACTGCCATTCCTGAACTCTCCCTAATGCTTCTTTACCTGTTAGAAAAAAGCAGTAGGACAAAAACATGTAATAAACATGCAACCTAATCAAACAGCCTGAGCTTTCTAAACTAAATGCTCAAATTTGAAGATTAATAGGAACAATAGTTTCCTTTTCTAATATTCTATTTACTAGTGTCCTCTAAGATTTACTGATTCTATAAATTACTGTAACAATGCTAACTACTTTACCATGCAATATCTAAATAGTTAAATGTCTTCTGCCTAGTGATACAAAATATATAAAATATTAAAAAATTGAAAAAGAGGAAAAAATAGGAATTAAAAAGGCATACATGGCCTGTTAACAGATTTCTTTATTTTTCTTGGTCAATTCTCTACCATCATTTTGGAGTTTGGGCAGCTGTAAATTTTGAAAAATTGACATTTTCAGAAATTTAAGAAAGGAGAATAAAAAACTAACAACAATGCTAAGCACACCAGTACGAAAACAACAAATTTACACAGAAATTTTAGTGAGTAAGTTAAAATGATTGGAAATATAGAACTCCACTGAATATAGAATGTTAAAATGTAAATACTAAAGTATGTATATATAAATAATGTATAATAAGAATAAATAGAAATGAGAAAAAAAATCTACAACTGAGTTCCAGTGTGCACAGTTCCTTGCAGTTAGCCTTCAAGATCCTGTCCATTCTTATGAGCAATTCTGCAAAATAACCAGAATGCTATTACTTTTAATTGTGACTTGGACTTTAGAAAACTGCAGGTCTCAGGTATAAATAAAGATAAAAAAACAGCAACCTGTATTATTTTATACTAATTTTAAAACAGCACTACTTACCACATTAAGATTAAAAAGCAAAGCAAATATCAAAATAGAAAATTTAGAATTACTTCTTTGAGATAAATCTATAGAACAACAAATTATACAGAGAAAAAGTTGTTGTTCTTAATTATAACATTTCTGTAAAGTAGTACTAAAGTGATTAATTTAAATCTATAGAAAATATACAATATGAACTGATTTTAATCACACAGATTATCAAACTTGTAACCATTTTTAACTTTTTGATATATTTTGATCAAGTTAATAAAATTTGAGGATAAATACTTTACTAAACAAACATTTGCCTCTCACTAGCAAATCGAATGTTACCACAAAAATTAAATTAATCTCACATTTAAGATTCAGACACAAAATATCTTAATACTGTAATAGTACTACTTTTAACTTACAGCTAAAATATCAGAACACATTTGTCATTATTCTAAGCATGAACATATCCAATTTAAACACAATGTATCCAAAGATTTACCTCCTTTCCCCCACTTATAAATTTTAAAAAGCTTAATACACAGTTTAAGTCACATTTACTTTTTATTAGCCCATTATTCTTTAACCACCAAGTTTTGAAAACATTTGACAAAAGAATTAGACGTAAGTTTTATCATCCAAACATTTTTTTCAAATATAAGAGAATCATTTAAAACTTATAAACATTATTATACACAGGATTTTATAAAAACAAGACCCCAGAACATTGAAATGACATTAACATTTGTAACCACATCTACTCAAAAAGAAAATAAACCAAAAATAGAAAACCAAAACTAAAAGGAAAACACACTACTTAGAGAAAGAAAACCTTAATTCCAATACAAGTTAATCATATACAATTCTGCCTATCCACTATTTAGTCTATTACTGCTTATGATACTTACGATATTTTACCAAAGGGGGCAAATGCTGATTTGATATCTTCTGTTGTAATTTCTGGACTCAAATCCCCAACAAACACATGGAAGTGATCTGAAATCAAAGCATTTGGTAATCAAATACTTAAAAAAAAAAAAAAAAGTTATGAAACCTTTTGAAGGTAGTATTAAAGGAGGGGGGAAAATCCTAGTTAAGCTGCCAGGAAATGCTGCCAAGATAATTTCAGAATCTCCCACAGTAAAATGCAGCAGGAGTACTTACTGGAAGTATCTTTTTTCTGGCTACTTGGTGTTGTTGCCCAGTTTACTTTGACCTCCTAAAAATAAAGATTATATTTAACACAATTATTAGGCATGTCATTATGAATTGTAACACTTACCACTTAATAAATCATTTATCAAGCTGGATTACTTTTGTAACAGCACTAGGCTGGATAAAATAAAGCCATCACTCAGCAGGTGAATGTCTGTTTAAAAACTTGCTAAGGAAGAACACAAAACTAATTTAACATGCAAATATATGCACTCATAAGGTGGCACCATCCTACTGTCTTACCTTTCCCAAAATTTTTCTCCCATTCATAGCAGCTAATGCAGCAGCTGCATCTCTGTGTTCATAAAATTCCACAAAGCAATATGGGTCATTGCTTGTATGCTGCAAAACAGAAAATCCAACAGAAGAGTTGACCCTTCTGCTATCGGGTTGCTGAGAAGAAAATCCAGGAAAAAACATTACTGATAGCTAGGAATGTACAAGGTGCATAAGTTTATGAAAGCCTAACACTTAAAAAAAAAAAAAAAGACAAAGCCAAAGCTGACTTTGCAGCTCAGAACATTGTAGAATTATGAGTATGAGTATTAAAATATGTATTCTGGTGTTCAACATAAAATAGCAACTTACATACTAAGCAAAACCCTGAACTCAAATTTGAATAAGGTCCACTTCTTACCACTATTCCTCCAATTTTTTTTTTTTGGTACTGGGACTTGAACTCAAGGCATTACACTCTTGCTTATTTTTGCTTAAGTCTAGCACTTTACCACTTGAATTACATCTCCACTTCTGACTTTTTGCTGGTTAATTGCAGGTAAGAGTTTCTTAGATTTGTCTACCTAGTTCCAAATCTTGTTCCTCAGACCTCAGCCTTCTGAGTAGGTAAGATTACAGTTGTGAGCCACCCAAGAGGGCCCACATTACTTTTTACTCCTGATCCAAATTAGGATTCCTGCTATAAGTACTTTGCATTGCTAACTCTTTTTTGGATAAGGAAAGAATGAGAATAAAAATAGAAAAATTTGGCATTTATAACTAGTAAAATGAATTCCCTATCTTTCAAAATTGTCTAATTGAGAATAGTAGAGTACATGCCTGTAAATGCTAACACTCAGGAGGATTCAAAGATTGGTGAGAGTTAAGGCTAGCTTAGGCTACATAGCAAAACCCTGCCTCAAAAAACAAGACAAACAAATAGGCACTAGAGTTTTGATAGACTTTGATTTTGGTCTTTCCAAAGTCCAGAAAATACACTAGCGATCTAGAACAGAATTTCTGAAAATGAGTCTCAGGGCTGGAGTGTAGCTCAGTGGTAGAAGCACTTACCTAACATAAACTAGGCCCTGGGTTTGATCCTCAGAACATTAAATAAACAAAAGAAAAATCTAGGACAAACCCACAATTTAATATCACAAAAACACCAATAACTCAAAAGTACAGGGGGCTGGGAATGTGGCTTAGTGGTAGAGGGCTTGCCTAGCATGATGAAGTCTCAGTAGCACATAAACCCGAAAAGGCTGAAAGCAGCAATGTGGCTCAAATGGTAAAGTGCTAACCTTGAACAAAAGAAGCTCAGGACAGAACCCAGGCCCCTAGTTCAAGCCCCAGGACTGGCCAAGAAAAAAAAAAAAGAAAATTATATTAGGCTGGACACTGGTGACTCATGCTACTCAGTAGGCTGAGATCTGAGGATTGCAGTTTAAAACCAGCCCAAGGGCAGAAAAGTCCCCATAAAACTCTTACCTCCAATTAACCACTCAAAAACCAGAAGTGGCACTGTGGCTCAAAGAGCTCAAGAACAATACCCAGGCCCTGAGTTCAAGCCTCACAACTGACAAAAAACAAAGTATATTAAAGATATACTTTATTAAATATATGCTTTGTAGTTGGCAAGTACATATAAGGAATGCCATCTAACAACCAAAATAAAAATGGATTTTTATAAAAACTGGGACCTGTATTGGCTAACTGTACAAATATATTTTTATTTATTTTTTTGGGGGGGGGTCCGATCATGGGGCCTGAACTCTGGGCCTGGGCGCTGTCCCTCAGCTCTTCAGCTCAAGGCTAGTGCTCTACCACTTGAGCCACATCGCCACTTCCGGCTTTTTTTTTCTTTTTGCTTATGTGGTGCTGAGGAATCGAACCCAGGGCCTTATGCATGCAAGGCAAACGTTCTACCACTGAGCCACCTTCCCAGCCAAATACATTTTTATTTAAGACTAAAAACAATCAGTATTTAATGTAAAGTGCCCTTAAAGAGTAGTATTTAAGATCTGGGGAATTTTAAATGGATTCCTAAGGGATAAAAAGAAAAATCAGATAAAATAAAGATCTTTTCAACAACCACTGTTTTTCCTTCCAGAAAAGTTTTAGTCATATAACAATAGTAACAAGGCAACCAGAAACATTTCCTTGAGAAAAAGAAGTGGGGTCATTTGCACTGACAAGAAAACCATGGGTTCACATACAAATCCTACTGTCAAAGCCATGTAAACACTGTTCCTAAGGGGTAGAGAAAGAAAATCAGGGGAAAAGATTCCAAATGAGAACATACATTTAAGTTCCTCTCATGAAATTAACATTCACCAGAAACAGTCATTGAAGAAATGATTTAAAAGAAAAAGCTCAGCTGGACATTGGTGGCTCATACCTGTAATGCTATCTAATTCAGAAGGCTGAGATCTGAGGATGGTGATTTGAAGCTAGCCTGAGCAGGAACGTTTGTCTGTGAGAATATTTTTTCTGGTCCTGGGGCTTAAACTCTGGACTTGGGTGCTGTCCCTGAGCTTCTGCTTAAGGACAGTGCTGTACCACTTGTGCAGCTTCCAGCTTTTCCTGGGTGGTTTACTGAAGGTAAGAGTCACTTGGCCTTTTCTGCCTGGGCTGGAACCTTGATCCTCAGATGTCAGCCTTCTGAGTAGCTAGGATTCAGGTGTGAACCACCAGCCTAGGCACCTGTGAGATTCTTATCCTAATTAGCTACTAAAACAACAACAACAAAGCCAGAAGTAGAGCTATGACTCAAGCTATGACTCAAGTGGTAGAATGCTAGCTTTCAGCAGAAAAACTCAGGGACAGTGCCCAAACCTTGAGTTCAAACCCCAGGACAGCACACACACACAATGGTAAAAAGCTCAAGTTGGGCTGCTTCATATTTTATCTTACTCCTTTTTCTCTAAGTGTCTCTAAGAGAAACATTGATAATTATTTTTAAACTACAGAAGTTCAAAGGCAGAGCTACAAAAAGCCCGAGACTTTATCATACTATCAGTAGGGCAGATGCCATTTAATGTATGTATGTATGTGTGTGTATGTGTGCATATGTATGTTTCCTTATCCATAGGGAATGTGTTTTGACCTGGTGGATATCCGAAACTTAGCATAGTACCAAACCCTATAGATACCATGTATTTTCCATCTTAACTAAGCACTTTAACTCATACAGTGGCCAGTATGTATTAAGTCCAACAGCAAAACTAACAAATTTTTTACTTTCATAATTTAACAGGACATGGGGCTGGGAAGGTGGCTCAGTGGTAGAGTGCTTGCCTTGCATGCATGAGGCCCTGGGTTCAATTCCTCAGCACCACATAAGCAGAAAAAGCCCAAAGTGGGGCTGACGCTCAAGTGGTAAGAACACAAGCCTTCAGCTGAAGAGCTGGAAGACAGCGCCCAGGCCCAGAATTCAGGCCCCAGGACCGACCAAAAAAATAAAAATAAAATAAAATAATAATAATTTAACAGGACTGTCATTTTTACTGTGGAAGCTTAACACGTGATTATCTTTGCTTATTGAGATTTTTCACCTTTTCACATAAAGGAACCATCTTGGCATTCCCAATTGCCAAGGTCACTGCTCTTGCACTCTGGGGTCATTCTATCAAGTTAGATATGGTTAACTGGAACATTAGTCAATCTGATTAGAGAGGAATGCTAAGTGACTAACAGGTGGCTAAGCATCTACAGCATGAATATACTTAGCAAAAGAATGATTCATGCCCAAGCTAGGGCAGCAAGAGATTAATCCACTACTCACAACTGTGTGTAATTTTCAAGTTCTGGATAGTTTTTCTGGATTTTTTTTTTTGGTCAGTCCTGGGCTTGAACCACTGTCCCTTCAGCTCTTCAGCTCAAGGCTAGTGCTCTACCACTTGACTCACAGCGCCACTTCTGGTTTTCTGGTGGTTTATTGAAGGTTATAGTCTCACGTACCTTCCTGCCCGGGCTGGCTTTGAACCACAATCCTCAGATCTCAGCCTCCTGAGTAGCTAGGATTATAGGCGTAAGCCACAGGTGCCCAGCTTCTGGAATTTTCTAATTAACATTTTTGAACAGATTGGCTGAAACCAGGTAAAGGAGAACCACTCTACACACATACTGTTAAATATCTGTATTACATAGAACTGTATCTTCACATCACTCTGTGTTTCACCTAAGATATCCACTGATTTTTAAGTCAAACATCAATTCAACTGCCAGAGAAAAGAAGTTTAATGTTTTCTTTAGAAATCCAGAAAATAGAATATGTATTATATTACACAAAAAAAGCTAGAACTTGAAGAAACATCTAATGTAATAAAACCATAAAACAGGATTTTTTCATATATCAAAATAAGTGAAAAGAAATATCTAGACACTACATATTCTGTACTAAAATTCATGTCCTTCCAAGTTTCCCAGTTAAACCACCACCAGGCAAAACTCCAAAGTTCAACCAGGTCCTTACCTTAAATAAGTTGTTGTCACCAATTTTTGTTGAATGACATAAATGTCAAGACAGAAAAACATAAGATTTTGTAACTATTTACAAATTCTAGGAATTACAGACTATCAATTGTAAAAAGTCATTCACTCCTCAAATGTCTGTGTAAACCAGACATTTAAGAAAACTATTACTAAAACAAGTATTTATCACATTGTTATTAAATGTTTCTAAGGATTCAAACATGTTCTCATATTTATTCCTAAACCAACTTCTATGAGATTCCAAACCAACAATGCCACCAAAACTGTTGATTCTTTTCTGTTTCTATTGATTTTCAGTAAAAATTCAAAACAGTGGTCCATCCTCCTTTAAACTCTTTATCATACTCTTGGTTTTCCTGTTTTCTCACTGGAAGATCTTTCTCCTTAATTATTATTATTTTGTTGGTCATAAGGCTTGAATTCTGGGCCTGGGTGCTGTCCCTGAGCTCTTCAGCTCAAGGCAAATGCTTTACCACTTGAGTCATAGTGCCATTTCTGGTTTTCTGATAGTTAACTGGAGATGAGTCTCACAGACTTTCCTCTCCGGGCTGGCTTTGAACCATGAGCCTCAGATCTCAGTGTCCTGAGTAGCTAGGATTACAGGCTTGAGCCACTGGTACCCAGCCTCAAGTTAATTCTGCCTGGAATTCTAGATGCTATGCTGTTCCAGGACAAGGACTAAGACCTCAGTCCCTCTTCTCTGGCATCATTCTAAATGAGCTCATGTCTCAATGCTGCAAATACCACTGCAAGCTTTAGCTTTGGGCTCTGCAGAGTTCTAAACTAGCTTATCCAATAGCCTAAGCTTAATGTGCATTTAGTTATCAAGTATACATCTTAAATTTGACAATGCCAAGACAACTCTTGATTCTCATCTCTTCCCATCCATCCTGTGTTCCTTTCAGTCACCTCATTTTAGTTAGTATTACCATCTACACAATTGCATTAACAAATCTTTCCTGATTTCCTTCCCTTATTTCCCACAGCCAATACAGTCATTGATTCTACCTCCAAAATGCACTCCAAATTTACCTAGCTCTACTTGTTAACCAAATGTCTAAAGAATCCACTAGCTCTTACCTAGAGTATTGCAGAAAACCAGTTAGCTTGTCTCCTCCTGTTTTTACTTCCTAGTCAGTCCTTCTCCACACAAAGTCTTAAAAATGCAAATCTGAGTACCTCACTCTCCTGTTTAAACCTCTCTAATGGTCTGCCACTTCATCTTAAAATTTGTTATAATATATACTGCTCTAAGATGCTAAATCCCATCTATCTTGTTGGGCCTGTTTCCTACCACTTACCCTCGATCATTAAACCAGCAAACCCTGGGGTCTTTGGCTCCATAAACACAACAAGCTCAGAAATCAAGGCCTTTGTATTTTCTCCACCCATCGCCAAGTCCTTTTTAATTCATGCCTCAGCTCAGAAGCAACACTTCCCTCACTATTTAGCCTATGTTAGCACCAATCCTTCAATCCTCATCTTCAAACTCTATTCTCTTTATAGCTCTTACCCCTATTTGTTTGGGGACCTTATTTGTCTGGCTCTCTATTACATCCTCAGTGTCTTGAAGATAACCTAGTTGTGCAAAGTAAGTTTTGATTAATGAAAGATGCATGAATAAATGGCCAAAGCTAGGAATAAAAAGGGTAATATATATCAGACAGAATGAAGACTGTCATTAGCTAGAACGATCAATAGGTAAGTAACAGGTTTTCCCATTTCAGGATAAAACAGGAACACAGCTGCTGGCACTTTCCAAACACTCTTGCCTCATTTCCTGGCATCTCTTATCACTAATCCCATTTTGAACTCCGACCATTCTAACCCTAGTTCTTTAGCAGAAAACAGACTTCTTTTCCCATTACCTTCACATACACTCCTGTTGTCCAGTCTACCAACCTTAACCAACATTTCTTCTCTCTACCTAGAATCCCTTCTTCCCTCGATTCCTTTCTAGCAAGTTTCTATCATTATCCTTTTGAGTTTCAGCCTCTGCACTGGTTCCTACAAGAAGCTTCCTGGACTTAAGACCATATGCCTCCAAGTGACATATGATTCTATATCCTAACTGCCTGCTAACTTCTAAGTCTCTCTACTGATAAGGCCTAGGAACTTTTTTATTACTGCTGTATCCCTAACACTTACTACAGTATCTGGTACACACAGTCAAAAATTGTGTTGGATGATAGCTGGACGCTGGTGACTCACGACTGTAATCCTAGCTACACAGGAGGCTGAGATCTGAGAATCAGGGTTCAAAGCCAGCCCGGGCAGGAAAGACTGTGAGACTCCTATCTCCAATAAACCACTAAAAAAACGGAAGTGGCTCTGTAGCTCAAGTGGTAGAGCGCTCACCTTGAGCTGAAGAGCTGAGGGACAGCGCCCAGGCCCAAAGTTCAAGCCCCATGACCGAAAAAAAAAAAAAAAGGACTATCCTAAAGACGCACAAGACATATTCTGCTTCACTATGCCCATAAGCCTTATGTTGTTTTTTACATGCATACCAAGTCCTAAACTTTTAAAACGTATAGAGGAATTAATATTCTTATTAATGGTATGAAATACCAATGTTTTCACAGTTCTTAGAAGAGCTATGTACAAGAAGTATCACCTGAAGATATAATACCATGAAGAATAACCAAATAAAACTCTACTCTAGGGCTAGTTTATCAGCCAAATTGAAGTAAATCAACACAACTCTCTCTCCAACAGAATAGCTTGAGGCATAAAATAAAAGTTGAAAATTATGCTAATCAGCCCAAATATCTCAAAATGGTAAACATCATGTGAATAGACAGCACTGGGAACTGGGAAGATCTTACCTCTGTTATCATTTTACAGCTTTTACAGGGTCCAATTTGACTGAACAATTGAAGAATAAGGACTTCCGTTACATCCCTGGAGAGGTTACCTACGTATCTAAACAAGAAAAAAAAATTATCAGCAACTTTTCTTAGCCATAGCTTTAATAGTATCTTTTAATTCATTATCTTCTATAGCATCTTATCAAAATTCCTCCAAATAAAGCTAATCTTATAAAGATTAACCCTTATTTGGGAAAACAAAAGTTGTTCATACACCACTAAAATACTATTTCAAAGGCATTTTAGAGAACAAATCAGTATGACCTTGATGCCCCAAAGGTATATTATCTTATACCCCTTATAGCATGTTCTTATTACAGTGATTAAAAATTCAAGCAAGTCTTACTTTAAAATAATTTTAACACAGAAATTTGATAAATTCTGATACACTAAAACACCTCACCATAAGAGGATATTAGACACTAGACGTTAGTGGGTTTGTCCTAGGATTCCCAACCAAAGTAATTACATAAGCAAAGAACAGAATCAGAGTAAAGCTGCAACAAAACATACAGAAGGTGGTGGGTTTTATTTTTATTGGCAATAGTATGCCTTCTTTTTTTAGGTGAACAGAGCAAAATAATAAAATTTCCTAATTAAAAATGCATTAGAATGAATAAACTATACCTTTACATAGAATTTTTAAAAGCAAATATGAAGATTTCTTTAGAAATTTAGAAAAAAGGGGCTGGGAAGGTGGCTCTGTGGTAGAGTGCTTGCCTTGCATGCCTGAGGCCCTGGGTTCGATTCCTCAGCACCACATAAGCAAAAAGAAAAAAGCTGGAAGTGGCGTTGTGGCTCAAGTGGTAGAGCACTAGCCTTGAGCTGAAGAGCTGAGGGACCAGTGCCCAGGCCAAGAGTTCAGGCCCCACGACTGGACCCCCCAATAAAAGCAATTTAGAAAAAATTAGGACAATTCCAAATATATTTCTGACTATGAATATTTAAAGCCGTAGGATTTTTTCCTCCTAATTACAAATCATGTGTGTATGTGTACATTCTATATTATAAGAAGTTTAAAGAAAGAAATATCATTGTCACTGTCAAGAGCTGACCCCTTTGGTTTGTATTATACCATGGACTTAATTTTTCTCAACAAACTGAGAAACTTTTAAGCTATTGTGGTACTTAACAATAATTCCTCAAACTTGTATCTGTCATGAACACCTCATAAACCAAAGAATACTTGTAAAATTTAACACAGTTTCTTCTGGAAAGTAAAAGGACCTACGTTTTATTTTTCTAACCATAATAAATAACATCTGGAAACAGACTAAAAAAGGTCTTGCAACATAGTTGCCACATTAGATACATTAACTGTTTTAAGATGGAGCATGCTGAAAGAGAAAGACTGAGATAAGTTAAAAACCCAAAGGACAATTTCATAGTAGGAGGTAAGGATGAGCAGCGATTTTCCAGTTTAGTTAGGAATTTCACTGTAATGGTTATAACTACTTTAGGATATATATTCTAAAGTTGAAATACAAAAGTCCAATGTTATCAAAACTGAAGATTAAATTAGTTGACAAACTGGTTTAGGTCTTGCCATCTTTTCCTTACATTTAAGTTGAGCTGGCCCATACATGTCAATGAAAAGTCATATAGGATTATGAGCTAGCCATAGCTAACAGCTTCGCTCTTTTTAACTTGTAGGTTTGTGTGCCTGTATCCCCAACTTATCTAAAAGGAAAATGAACAGATGATCTCGATATCCTAAATATTGTGCTCATCCAACCTAAAAAGCTAGTAATTAATTCAGAGAGAAAAGAAGACTGGATAAGACTTTTACCTGCTGAAAACTAGCTAGTAACAAAAGTAGAATTATTATGTTAATATAAAAGTTTAAATGGTTTACACTCCTTAAACATTGATCTGTTCAAGAAAAACTGCATGGCATTAATTAGCTTCCATATCTAACAGTCACAAAAGAAGAGGTTGCTATTTAATAGTAAGGATTCACATTTCAAGTCAACTTATTTTCAATCAGTTAAAGATCCTGAAGAATTTCCAGGGGCACTACCTTCACATGTACTATCTATCTGCATTTCTAGCACTGATGTCAAATAAGTTGTTTAGAATGTCATGATATACTTAAGCTCTTCCACAACATATACAACATCTTAGCTTACTGGGATGCAAAAGATACAATATACTATATAATTTCACCTCAATTTTATCCACATTTTAAATTGCCCTTTATTTAGTTGTTTGTTTGTTTTGTTTTGTCAGGCCTGAACTCTGGGCCTGGGCACTGTCCCTCAGATCTTCAGCTCAAGGCTTGTGCTCTACCACTTGAGGCACAGTGCCACTTCCAGCTTTTTCTATTTACATGGTGCTGAAGAATCGAACCCAGGGCCTCATGCATGCAAGGCAAGCCATCTACCACTAAGCCACCATCCCAGCCTGCTTTTAGTTTAGTTTTGGCCAGTCCTAGGGTTGAACTCTGGGCTTCAGCACTGTCCCTGAGCTTTTGTGCTCAAGGCTAACATTACCACTTGAGCCACAGCTCCACTTCTGGGCAGAAATGTCTGGGCTGTCTTCTAACTGCAATCCTCAAATCTCAGCCTTCTGAATAGCTAGGATTACAGAGATGAGCCACTGGCACCCAGTTAGATTGCCCTTTCTTTTACTCATAGTTCTGTAATTCATGTATTTAAGTATGTCTTCATGCATCATAGTAGAGCACATTTTGTAGCTTTAAAAATAATGTACTATGCTGCTTATCATAAGACAATCTGGCTGAAAATAGATACCAAAAAAAAAACATTTAAGACAAAGTTTATATTTGATCTAGTAAGCAACATTATTTGGTAGTTTTATCTAAAATAGATTTTTCCTTTTCCATATGAGTCTCTATACTTCAATTTCTTTCTGCTGTGGTTATGAAGTAGTCAACATATTCTAAAGTTTCATGATTTTAAATATATAATTTCTACCTGAGGAGCATATACAAAATAACAGAAAACGACAAATGACTTGAGGTTTTATATTGAGAGGTCAATTCAAAGGAGAAAACACGTAGAAAACTCCAAAATGATTTTTAACTAAAGGGAAAAAAATAAAGAAAGGCATACCTTACAGTCTGTCTTCTAAGAACAGGAACTGTAGGAACTGAAGCATTAAAAACTGAAAATGATACCTTTATCCCTAACATCAGGGTTAAAATCCAATTTGCAACTAGACTCTTGGCAGTTACACAGTAGGCAGAAGTTCACATTGCTAAACTACTTCCTATGTCCAACTGGGCAGAATTTTTGAGTTAAGAACATCATGCCTTGCAGAAAACTAATGACAGCTTTTGCACATTGAATGTGCTCTCACTCTAAAAAGGGTAGCCCTATGAAAGTTGAATTACAGTACTTTTACACAAAACACTATGGCTAAATTTCCACAAAGCTAACATTTTTGCTTTTGTTCTTGACAAGTTCCTAGACAAGAGGAGATTTTTTGCAATAATATTCCTTAATATTAAGCCCTTCTAAAGAATTGTTTGATTTGTCAGTATTTGGTTTTAGGAAGGAGGTATGGTGAAAAGTGCAAGTAATACAACTAAACTGAGCATCTATAGGGATATGACACACACATTTCAAAGAAAGAGAACATGATTAAATTGCATGAGAGACTTGATTATAGCCACAATATAACCAAATCCATAGTATAGCTAGTCAATTTTATAATGAGATTTTACACTATTTTATTCTGCTTTGTTCTTACATGTTCAGATTATACTCTAAATCATTGGTTTATTTCTTCCTTTTGATTAGCAGGAAGAACAAATAGCCTTAAAGGATGGCATTGCATAACATAACTTATTACCCAAGAATCCCAATTCCTACTGATTTTGGTGTATCAAATTGATGAAAAAAAAAAAAAAAAACTTCAATAGAACACTAGTATAATTAGTGCCATACTGTAGATTCAGATATACCATGGATCAAATCACTGCACTACAAAGACACACAAAACACAAGCCTGAAATGTGTGTCCTACAAGGCCGAGCCACTCCAAACATCAGCATGATCTCATTTGTTTTGTTTTAAGATCACAAGTTACCCACTACATAAAATACAAAATACCCCAAAACAAATGTCAAATGAAAATGAAGAACATCAGAAAACAGACCTTTACAGCAACTGTATGACAAATAAAACTTTAGTCTCAATATAAAAGCAATTCTATACCACTTTAAATACCATCAAATAAATTAGTAATACTATAGGTAATGAATATTTAAAGACCTACCTAGGCTATAAACACCATATTGTTTTCTGAAGATAGAACCATATGTCTTAGCTTGTGTGTGTCTGCGGGAAAAAAACCTCACTAGTAACACACAGGCATTTTAAAGAAACAGGTTAAGATAAGCTTTAAGAGTACATTCTTTTAAAGCATACTATCCACTTGAAAACCTAGTCCATAGATCACAATGCAAAATATAGGCTCTCTATGAACAAAATAAAATCTCTAAAATTATGTTCAAAATTTTCATCCCATTATTTGGATCTTAAAAAAGGCCATTTGAGAAGAAACACGTAAAATATATACCCTTAAAAACCACTATGCATTATTTTTTATTATAATCTCAATTGTGAAACATTTACTTTTATCTCAAGGTTTTATATTAAAAAGTTTTAAAAACTACATAAAAGTCAACAAACTTCATCAGATATGACAATGTCTGCCTATAATTTAAGTCACTCAGGATTTTTTTTTAAAGGACTTAATTTAGTGAAAGAAGTATAATCATTGTTAAATAGTTACTGAGTACCTCTTATGATCCAGGCAGTGAACTAAGTGCTGGAGGGGTAAAACCTAGGAAGATGTAGCAGTCTTTGTCTAAAAAAAACAAGCAAACAAACAAAAAAACCCTTCCCATGGAGAACAGTATAAGACAGTTCCAGAAGGAAAAATGGAAGACAGAATAGTAAACATGTACTGACATACAGGAATAACAGCTTATGTTGTTTATTTACTCATCTATATATGCATCATATTTTTAGACAACAGTAAATACAAACAACTCAAGTATTTTAAAGAAAAGAGGCTGGAGAAGAGAGGGATAAAATAACAATGAATGAGCTCATTAGCCTACTGAAAGATCTCAGAGATGAAGACAAGCAGGATGTAAAGAGTTACAGGAAAAGATACTAAAAAAGCATATTACTTAGCAGGACAAAACCAGTAATTCCTCTTCAAAGGAACAAATAGATACAGTTAATGAGACATGTGCCAGGAGAATTTACCAATTATTCAGTAGCTATTATGATGCAATGATGACATCTCAGACACTTTAGATAGAATGTAATTGTTACCTTAAATACACGCTTAGCTAGGCCCTAAATCTAACTTTTCCCAAATACTTCCATCCAAGTACATATTACTATAGCAGAATGTCAAGTTTTGGCTTAACAAATTTTGAAGGACAAATTTCAAATTTGTCTCCATTCCCTCTTTTCTGGGAAGAGACGGCAGAAATGAAAGGCAACATGAAAGGTCCAAGCAAGCTTTTCATAGATGAGCTTTTTGGCCTCAAACTCCCAAAACAGGATGGTGAATACTTTAAGATGCTGAGAAACAAAAAAGAAAGAGCACAAGTCTGAAAAGACAAAAATCAAAATCAAGTTCTGAATATAGATAGCTATCTTCTTTACTAAGCACACTATCTCTGAGAGAACTGAAGCTCTGAAAAGCTAGTTAACACTTCCCGAGGGCCCATCCACCTTTTTCTACCTATTCCTCAAAAAGTACTTTCCCCATCAAATAACCCAGCCAAGTGAACTCTGATCTTATCAATACTGGCAGAGGCAAAAGAAACAGCAGTGATCTGACTCCCTGTATTCCAGACAAGAGTAGTGGGCCTCCAGACGCTGGGGAAAGCCAAAGGCGTTCAACTTAAACACTTTATTTGAAAAAGTACTCTGGCTTCTAAAAAGGATGCTAGAAAAAGAGAAGTGTCAAACTACTTGGGGGGGGGGGGGGAGAGGAAAGCATGCAAGTGCTGACTCATCACTCTTACATTAGGAAACTCGATTTAGGCGGTTGGAAGATGAAATTCATTCATTAGATTGGGCTTCAGGTAAAACGCAACAGCAAGACTGCAGAAACTCCCCAAGAGACACACATCAAATAGCGGATGGAGACAGCATTGTATCCACCTCCGATGGCCTCGACGCACAGACAGATTGAGAAGCGGCAACACCAACAGAGCGAAAGGAGTTTTAACAACTGGTTGTCAGTGTGGCGTAGCGAGCGCTCAAAGTAAACTTCGTAATCCAAGAAGGGAGAGATGCGCCGGCATCCCTTTGGCACTTCAAAAGTAGCGGGCGCTGGGCGGGTGTTTCTGACAGCGTGGGCGGGGGCACGTGGGGGCAGAAAGAGAGAAGGGGCTCCGGCGGCTGAACAGAATCCCGCCTTCTCCGGAGAAGAGCCGAGAGAGACTGAAGCTGAGGACAGGGAGGGCGTGAGGGCTGATTCCTCCGGGTCCGCAGGAGATGCAAAGGTGGTCCCACCACCCCCAGCAGGCCCCGTCCCCGAGGGGTCCGGCAGCTCCGGGCCCAGGGCCGGGCCCCCGGAGCCAAGGGGAGCAGGAGCTCGCCCGGGCCTGACAGCTTCAGCCATGCAGAGACCCAGCCCAGGAAGGGTGCGCCAAGGAGGGTGAGAGAGAAAGGGGTCGAGCCAAGCCCCGGACCCCAGGAAGTGACTGCGTTTGGGGGAAGGGAAGGCTTCTTCCTTCCCGAGGAGCAGCGGACAGAGGAGGAATGCTCGCTGCGTCCGCGCCACCGCGGCCGAGGAGCCGCCGAGAGTCCCGGCTCGGCCCCGGTCTCCAGCGCCCGCCCTCCGCGTCCCGCGGTGCCCGGGCCTCTCGGCGCCTGGCACCCCCGGTCTCGGGTACTCACAGAGTCCGGGGCTGTCCGTCGTCTTCCATCATGGTGGGTGCGACGGAGCGATCCCGGGACAAGGGGGAGGGCAGGGCTGGGGAGGGGAGGGGGCGGGGAAGAAGGGGAGGGGGGCTCCGGGCGCCGGCTGGGGACAGAGGAGAAGGTACCGAACCCTGCTCTCGGGCTCTCTCCCCCCAGCCCGCTCCGGACACTGCGCTCCAACCAGGAGGAGCTGGAGGAGGAGGAGGATGAACAAAATGGCCGCCGCCACCAGCCAGGCAGGAAACGGGGCAGGGCGCAGGCGCGGCCCGCCAGGTCACCGCTCAGGCCAGCAGCGACGGCCTGGCTGGGGAGAGCCGAGGGGGCAGAGAGCCGGGCCGCGGGGGGAACCCTGCGCCGGGTCGCGACGGGCCACGTCGTCGCTGTGGGCCTGCTGACCGGCCGAGGCCCAGCCAGCTCCAGAAGAGGTCCGACAGAAAGACAGACGCCGTGAAGCGAAGTCCCTGGGAACTGTGGTCCAGGGAAGGAGCGAGGGAAGCACTTCTTCTCCAGGGGCCTTCTGGGAACTGTAGTCCGAAGAAGGGACTTCTGGGTATTGTAGTCTTACGTGAGGCTGTGCGGCGAACAGGAAGTCGGTGTGTCGGGAAGGAAGGAGGGAGGAATAAAAGCGACGTTAACAGGCCGGCGCGCAAAGTGGAGAAGGCGCTGTCCGGGAAGTAAACTACAAGTCCCAGAGTGCCTCGCGCCGGGGGTTGTCTCAGGACCGCTTCAGGCATACTGAGGCTCTTCTGTTGGCGCAGCGTGTGCTTCTGCTCCGCCTCCGTCTGGCCGGAGAGCGGTTTCTTCAACTGCGGCTCCGGCTGTGCGCCGGCTCCGCGTGGTGTTCCCGGCCCGCAGGCCTGGCTGGTGCGCCGGCTCCGCGTGGTGTCCCGCCCGGCAAGCCTTGCCGGCTCCTCTGTTGGTCCGACTGCTGGCCCGTGGTCAGCAACCGCCGCCTCACGCGACGGGCTGGAGAGAGGCTAGCCCCTCACGCCGGAGGGACGGGGCGGGCCTTGTGCTCCCCGGAGCCCAGGCACGTCTTTGGGGCGCGTTTTCCTGCAAATAGGTATTTCTAGCCTTGGTCTCGTGCTGGTAAATTGGTTTATCCGTGATCTCATCGGATTCGGGGGTGACTTTGTCCTGGGCTGAGACGTGGCGAAGTGGTGAGGCACCTGCCTGGCAAGCACAGAGGTCCCGAGTTCAAATCCTGGCACCGAAACGCCTTCATTCTTGCAATGAGGATAAAAAGAGGTAACGCATAGGTGGTGTTTTGACATCAAGTTATGTGAGGCAGACCAAAGATGTGGGAAGCCACGTTCAAACTATCAGCGAGGCGCACTTGCCAGGCTTGCGCTGGCCTTGGGAAGCTAGCCGTGGAGGGACTGGGACCGGAAACACCAGCTCTCCAGTCTTGTTGAGTGTCTTTTCTTGTTTGATCTTTTTGTTGGTCATGGGGCTTGAACTCGGGGCCTGGGCGCGCTGCCCCTGAGCTTGCTGCTCAAGGTTAGTGCTAGTCTACCACTTTGAGCCACAGCGCCCCTTCCGGTTTTGTGGTTAATTGAAGGTAAGAGTCTCAGACTTTTCCTACCCAGATTGGCTTTGAACCAGGATCTTCAGATCTCAGCCTCTTGAGTAGTTAGGATTACAGGCAGGAGCTACCAGCACCCGACCATTTTATTTCATTTATTTTAATTTTTAAACAAGCACTTTTATGATGTGCTTCCCACACTCCAACGTCTTCACGAAAAAGTTGCCCTTGCAGGTCAGGGAAAGGGAATAGTGAAGAAAAATCTGCAGTTAACATTCCTGTTGTAAGGTGCCGCTGACTATTTTTGTGGGTACAAGCCACCATGCAGGAAAACACGATAATGTGTATTTGTAGAAGAAATTTCAACTTGACTTTACAGAGACTGAGATAAAGGAGTGAAGGAAGGAAGAGTGAGTGGGAGATCCAGGCATGGTGTTTTAGCTTGTAATCCCTCCACTCAAAAGGATCCTGAATTTGGGGCTAGCTTGAGCCACATACCAAGACACCCTATCTTAAAAAAAGTAGCAACAGCAGAGGGGCTCAGAGGGCAGGATGCAGGGCTAAATGTAACATGGTCTGGGGGATACTAATGGTGCAACATGGAGTAGGTCTGTGAAGCTAGAGCTGGAGAGGCAGTCATGGACCATCATTTTGCCAAGAATATATACCATGCTGAGGAGCCCCTATCTGCCCAATATGTTTGCTATGACTGCTACGAAAATTACTGCAGGTGGCTTAGCAGTAGAGTGCTTGCCTAGCATTCATGAAGCCCTGGGTTGGATTCCTCAGTACAACATAAACAGAAAAGCCAGAAGTGGTGCTGTGGCTCAAGTGGTACAGTGCTAGCTTTGAGCAAAAGTAGCTCAGGGACAGTGCCCAGGCCCTAAGTTCAAGCCCCAGGACTGGCAAAGAAAAAAAATTACTGCAAAATAGTACATATGAGACTATTTTACAGTTCTAGATGTCAGAAGTCCAAATGCAATGCAGTAGGTTAAAAATTGGAGTGTTGCAGGGCTGGATCTCTGCCTTTTCTGGTTTCTAGAAGCAATCTGCATTCTTTGGCTCTTGGCCCCATCTACCAAGAAAGCAGCATAGTGACCTCTGCTTTTTTTGTCCTTTTCTGCTCTGATCGTCCTCTCTTTTTACTTTGGTCAAGATAGTTTCATCATCCCCATCTGACGATCGTTCATCGAGAGTATGCCTCCACACACAATTTTTCCTCCCACATCTGAGGTCATCATCTGTCTTGTCTTTACTGCTTCTTTCCTGTTATAAAGTTTTGTTCCACATATACAGTCTTTAGAAGTGTGGTATATTCACTTTTTGTTTTTTAATATTGAGGTTTGAACTTAAGGCTTCATGTTCCAACACTTGTTACAGCATTTTTTTTTTTTTTTTGTCGGTCATGGGGCTTGAACTCTGGGCCTCGGAGCTATCCCACAGCTCTTCAGCTCAAGGCAAGGGCTCTACTGCTTGAGCCACAGCACCACTTCTGGTTTTCTAGTGGTTTATTAGAGATAAGGGTCTCACAGATTTTCATGCCTGGGCTGGCTTTGAGCCATGACCTTCAGATCTCAGCCTCCTGAGTATCTAGGATTACAGGCGTCGGCTTTGTTACAGCATTTTTGAGGTATGATCTCACTTTTTGCCCAAGGCAGCCTGGAACATGATCCTCCTATTTATACTTCAGGTACATCCCACTATTCCCAGGTATTGATTGACTGATCCTCCCAAACCCTACCTCCCAGAAAGCGAGAACCGCAGGCATCATCCGCCAGCACCCAGTTTAATTGTCAGTATTTTTTAACTTAATAATAAAAGAATATGGCCACTACCCACCTATTAGAATGGCTAAAGTTCAAAACACAACCCTAGAATGTGAAGTAGTTTATATTCATTGCTGGTGGAAACCACTCTGGAAGACAGGTTGGTAATTTCTTACAAAGCTAAACATAACTTCTAGGTATTTCTCAAGTCATTTTGTCTTAACAAAATATCTGAAATGAGGTACATACACAGAAAAGGCACAGCTGCACACAGGTGTAGTCCCTGCACTTGGGTAGGAGAATGGCAAATTCAAGGCCAGCCTGGGCTACATAGTAAGATCCTTTGCATACTGTAGTCAGCAGCTTTGGAGGCTTGTCCAAGATGAATGTGGTCCCATCTGATTTGCCTTTGTAGGGACCCTTGGTTATGTCACTATGTGGCAGGGTGGCAGGTTGCATGGCAATGGAAGAGAGAGGGAGATAGTACGTGGAAAGACAGGAAGCCAGGGGCCCAACCTCCTTCTTTTTTTTTTTTTTTTTTTTTTTGGTTGGTCATGGGTCTTTAACTCTTGGCCTCGGCTGTCCCTTAGCTCTTCAGCTCAAGGCAAGCACTCTACCACTTGAGCCACAGCGCCACTTCTGGTTTTCTGGTGGTTTAATGGAGTCTCACGGACTTTCCTGATGGGCTGGCTTTGAACCATGATCCTCAGATCTCTGCCTCCTAAGTAGCTAGGATTGTAGGTGTGAGCCACTGGCACCCAGTGAAGCTCCCTCTTTTTATAAGATGACACTTATAGTAAGTAGAGACCTAGAAGAACCACATTTATCCCTCCCAAGGACATTGTCTCCAACGATCTAAAGACCTTCCTAGGCCCCACTTCCTAAAGTTCATTACCCCTCAACATTGAGAACCAATCTTCCAGAATGTGAACCTTTTGGGAGACAAACCATAGCAGAGTTGAAAACATCCACACAAAGACCTACATACAAATGATTACAGCAGTTTTATTCATAATTACTCCAAATCAACCAAATACCCTCTTAAGTTGTTAATATGTAAGATGTTAAGTATGGGGAAACTAGTGGCTGGGAATATGGCTTAATGGTAGAGTGCTTGCACAGCATACATAAAGCTCTAGGTTTGATTCCTCAGGACCACACAAACAGAAAAGGCCAGAAGTAGCGCTGTAGCTCAAGTGGTAGAGTGCTAGCGTTGAGCAAAAAGAAGCGCAGGGCCAGTGCCCAGGCCCTGAGTTCAAGCCCCATGACTGGCAAAAAAAAAAAAAAAAAGAATGGGGAAACTAATAGGAGAAGGCTGTGTGATGTCGGAGCAGAACAGAGGGTCATCCGTTCTCACCTAAGCGTCATGACATCCTAGCCTTTTTGTTATTCTGTGTAACAAAAGCAAGGACAGGAATAAATCTACACACACACACACAGCAGAGTCACACAAGACAAACCACTGGAGGGCAAGCCATTTGAAGTGTGTGTAATATACAATCCAGAGCTCCGGAGGTTTTTTTGGTAGTAAATGAGAAGGCAAGTAATAAGAAATGGGAGAAGGAAAGTGCACCTTGCTAAAGGCTGTCTGTGCTAGGTGAGGTAGCGTACACATGTAATCCGAGTGTAATTACAGCTACTCAGAAGGCTGCTGCAGAAGGATCAAAAGTTCAAAGCCAGGCTGGGTAACTTAGCAAGACCTCAAAAAGAAAAAAAGAAAGCCAGGCTCTAGTGGCTCAGGCCTATAATCCTAGCTTCTCAGGAGGCAGAGATCTGAGGATCTTGGTTCAAAGCCAGCCTGGGCTGAAAAGTACCTGTAAGACTCTTATCTCCAGTTAACCACCAGAAAACCAGAAGTGGCGCTGTGGCTCAAAATGGTAGGGCACAAGCCTTGAACAAAAGAGCTCAGGGACAGCACCCAGGTCCTCAGTTCAAGCCCCTGGACTGACAAAAGAAAAATGTTTTAAGTTCGTTCTTTATGCAGATAGTCTCGCAGATAACCACCTGCAACCATCTGTATCTAGGCCAGATATAAGACCCCCAAACTTCCTAAGAAAAAGTATTTCCTAGGCAGATGGGAGGAAGAATAACCAAAAAGTCCCAACTGTATCTGCGGTTTGCTCTATAGATGGGCAGCTTTGTCATTCCTGTGTGATGAGCAATTTAACAAATG